ACGTCACGTTCGACGAGTCGGTCCCCTACTACCGCCTCTTCCCCTACCGCACTCCGTCCCTCCCCCTGGCCCCGCTCTTCCTTGTACCAGGTCCCCCCCAAGTAGACCCCCTCCCCCCTCAGGGTCCTGCCCCTTCAGGTGTGTCCCAGGTAGATGCAGTCGAGCCTGTCAAGGTCACTGGTGACTCTGGTGCTGCTGAGGGTGCTGAGCCTGGGGGTGCTGTGCCTGGGGGTGCTGAGCCTGGGGGTGCTACGCTTTGGGGTGCTTTGCCTGGGGGTGCCGGGCCTGGGGGTGCTGAGTCTGGAGGTGCTCCGCCTGGAGGTTCTCCAGGTGCTTCATCTCGCCGGGAGCCACTCTCTCCACAGGAGCTGCGCGAGTGGTTTGCCCGGCGCTGGAGCCGTGCAGCTGGTGCTGGAGGTTCTTCGGCTACTGGGGGTGCTGAGCCTAGGGGTGCTGAGTTTGGGGGTACTACGCCTGGGGGTGCTGAGCCTGGGGGTGCTGAGCCTGGGGGTGCTGAGCCTGGGGGTGCGAAGCCTGGAGGTGCTCCGCCTGGAGGTTCTCCGGGTGCTTCGTCTCGCCGGGAGCCACTCTCTCCACAGGAGCTGCGCGAGTGGTTTGCCCGGCGCTGGAGCCGTGCTGCTGGTGCTGGAGGTTCGTTGGCTACTGAGGGTGCTGCTGTCGGGGGTCCCAGAGGTGCTGGTACTGGGAGTACTGGAGCTGCTGGGCCTGCAGGTTCGACTGGAGCTGGTGCTGCTGAGGGTGTTGGCGCTGAGACTACCACTGGCGGTCCTGCTGGGGGTGCTCCTGTTGCTGCTGGAGGTTCTGGAGCTCCTGGAGGTGCTGCTGGAGCGGGTGCTCCTACTGGAGGTGCTGCTGAGGGTGTTGGCGCTGAGACTACCGCTGGCGGTCCTGCTGGGGGTGCTCCTGGTGCTACTGGAGGTTCTGGAGCTACTGGTGGTGCTGCTGGAGCGGGTGCTCCTGCAGAGGGTTCTGGTGCTGTCCCTGCTGCTTCTGGCGTCGTCACGCGACCTCGACCGTACTTCGTTCCACTCCTGTAGCAGGTTCTTGGTCTTCCACCTTCTACTGGTCCTCCTCCTCCCTTAGAGTGTCCACAGCCTGTCCCGTCCCAGCTACAGTCGCAGCCTACCTCCCCTTTGCCTGCTCCTTCTCCCTACACTGGTCCTACTGGAGGTCTGGCTGAGCGTCGTGAGCCTGCGTCTCGGCTTGCGTCGCCTGTCCGTGCTACTCGCACTAGTGGTCGCGGTTCGCGTCAGCGTCCTCCTCCTGTCCCTGGCACGCATCGGATGTCTCTGCGTCCGTCCACTGCTCCTCTACGTGCCCCCTTGCCTTCTCCTCCTGAGTCCTCTCTTCCTGCTCTTGCGGACCCGGAGTCGGACTCTCTTCGTGCTGCCAGTCCTACTGTCACGCGTCTCCTTGCTACTGTTGTCACGGACCCTTCTTTCGAATCTACTGCTGCCTCTGCTCTCGTTACTGAGCTCGTCGACTTTGCTGCTCGCTGTCGCTTAGACTACGCTGCTAGTCTTGTCGCTGAGTCTGAGTCTGTCTGTCCTCCGTCCGTCGAGGGTGAGTGTGCCCTTGGCACGGACGTCCTTGAGGACAGGCAGGAGGAGTTCCAGTGTTTGGCAGCTGCTTCACCTCATCTCGTGTCCGTACTGCTTACCCCTGAGGGAGACCCGGATGCACTTGACATCCCGACTCCGCGCTCTTACGCGGAGGCGATAGAGGGTCCCTACTCCTCTCAGTGGCAGGCAGCTATGGATGCAGAGATGGCTTCCTGGAAGTCCACAGGCACCTACGTTGACGCTGTCCCCCCTCCTGGGGCGAACATCGTCAGTGGCATGTGGATCTTCAGGGTGAAGCGGCCGCCGGGTTCTCCGCCTGTCTTCAAGGCGCGTTACGTGGCTCGTGGCTTCAGTCAGCGGCAGGGAGTTGACTACTTTCAGACCTTCTCCCCCACCCCGAAGATGACCACTCTTCGGGTACTGCTGCACGTTGCTGCTCACCGTGACTACGAGCTGCACTCTCTTGACTTCAGCACAGCTATCTTGGAGGCAGCCTGCACGAGGAGATCTGGCTGCGCCGCCCACCTGGCTTCACTGGGTCTTTCCCTCCTTGTACCCAGTGGAGTCTCCGGCGTCCAGTCTACGGTCTCCGCCAGGCGCCACGTGAGTGGCACGACACACTGAGGACTACGCTTGGGTTTGCTCCTTCTACTGCCGACCCGTCGCTGTTTCTGCGCACCGACACCTCTCTGCCGCCGTTCTACATCCTCGTGTACGTCGACGTCTTGGTCTTTGCCACAGCTGACACTGCTGGACTCGCCTACGTGAAGTCCGAGCTGCAGAAGAGACACACGTGCACAGACCTGGGTGAACTGCGCAGCTACCTTGGCTTGCAGATCACCCGGGACAGAGCACGCCGCACCATTACCCTGACTCAGTCACACATGGTGCAGTAGGTCCTTCAGCGCTTCGGCTTCACGTACTCCTCACCTCAGGCCACTCCTCTGCCTACTCGCCACTCGCTCTCAGCTCTGCCTTCGGATGAGTCCGTAGAGTCGAGTGGCCCGTACCCAGAGCTTGTTGGCTGCCTCATGTACCTGATGACCTGCACACGACCTGACCTTGCATACCCTCTTAGCATTCTCGCACGCTATGTTGCTCCTGGGAGACACCGACCAGAGCACATGGCTGCAGCGAAGAGGGTGTTGCGCTACTTGTGCAGTACGTCGGGCATGGGGCTAGTGCTTGGAGGGCGGAGTCCAGTGGTCCTCACTGGGCACGCGGACGCTTCTTGGGCTGACGACCAGGCTACGCAGCGGTCGTCACAGGGTTACACCTTCAGCCTTGGTTCCGGCTCTGTTTCGTGGCGGGCTACTCGCTCGTCTTCTGTTCTTGGCTCCAGTTGTGAGGCTGAGATCTACGCCGGGGCCATGGCTGCACAGGAGCTTCGCTGGCTCACCTACCTGCTGACCGACCTTGGAGGGCCGCCTCGTTCTCCTCCAGTGCTGTACGTAGACAACAAGGCCATGCTGGCCTTGTGTCGAGAGCAGCGACTGGAGCACAGAACAAAGCACATTGCTCTCCGCTACTTCCTTGCTCGTGAGCTACAGCAGCGTGGACAGTTGCGGCTTGCGTACGTGGCCTCTGAGGCCAACACTGCTGATGTCTTCACCAAGGCACTTCCGCCTTGTGATCATCAGCGCTTCTGCACTCAGCTGGGTCTTGTGCTCGTCTTGCCTCACTTGCTCTCCTCTTGACCTTGCTTGTACTCTCACATATATATATACCTGCTCTTGCTTGTCTAGCTTTATATATATGTGTGTACTCTTGCATGTGAACTGGGCGTGTGGCCTTGACCCTGTGCTCGGACTGTGTGGTGACTTTGTGATCCACCCTGAGCTTGCTTTGCTTTGCTTTACTTGACTGGTCTTGTGACCCCTTGTTCTCCCCCACTTTGCCTATGGGGGTGTGTGAGAATGCTATATAGCTTATACATTTGTGTAGGCTATAGTGGGGTATCCCATAAGGGGTACAACCCAATTAGGGTTAGTACTTGTACTCACTCATTTCATAGTTGATTCATTCTCGTTTCAATTCTCACAGATTGAGTTCCTCGTTTGCTGGAAGGATCGCACGCCAACCCAGGACAGCTGGGTGCCCCTGGCCAACATCGAAAACCACCCTGCCCTGCAAGTGTACCTGAGGAGCCGGGGATTGAGCGATATACACGCACTCGCGTAGCGAAGGGGTCTTCTTGAGGGGGGGGGGGGGGGGTAGTGTAAGGAATTTTCTCGGCATTCCTTACGGAGCCTGACTACATCGCGTACAGCAACAGCTGTTGTTCGCCTGTTACTGCTAACGGGGCTTCGCCGACTTCGCGCGCACTGTTTTACCAAACCTCGCACTGCCGGCCTGGCCGTGTCGGCCTACGCTTCGGGACTAGCCCGAGCCTCGCTTCCAGCGTAGCACTAGCTAGCTCGCACGCACCGCGTTACCGTTTGCATGTTTCGCGTATAAATGTTCGCTCATGCCTTCGCTCACATTTTGTACTCGTTTGACACCTTAGTGCAATTCTAGCTACTTAGATTCATTGCACCCGTAACAAAACGATACAAAATGGACTCAACCGTGAACTGGCGAACGCGTTGACATTTTCGCCAGCTGTTCGGGATTCTTCGAGATCAGGTTGCCCATGCTGTCGCCAGAATTCGAACGAGATCCAACACAATCTCGGGCCAGTCCCGCAGTCCAGCGCCTAAACATCCTCTCTGCGGCACCCAACTGTGGCACCACCGTCGCGGATCGCGGCGCGTGTGGCGGGCCGCACTGCACGCGAGCGAGGCGTCGAGATACCGAGAGGCACCCACGCAGCGCCATCGGGCTCATCCGCCGCAGCTAGCAATCACGGGCCTCGGCATCCGCGCACGACATCGCCGCGACTCACTCACTCACTCGGACGGTGCGTGCGATCCCACCGCGCGCCGCTCACAGCCTCGCCTCGCCTTGCCTTGCTGTCCCATTCGCCGCGCCGCCCCACCCACGCTCGTCTCTGCCCGGCGCTCCCCCGCCGTCGCACCCCCACTTCCCCGCTTTGCCTGCCTCCCCGCCTTCCACGCCGCCCACCTCGTCCCTCACGCCCACTCACCACTCGCGCCCCGCGTGGGGCCGCTTTCCTTCCGCGTCCCCTTCCGTCGAAGCACCCCAAGTGACGCGTTGCTGCTGAGATCGCCCCATCCAGCGCGCCAAGGCCCTCTCTGCCCTGCTCCCTCTCCCCACGTGCCGCCTGCAGCTGTCACCGCTACACGGCTCCACTGCGCCCGCTGCTCCTGCCACACGCAGTGTGTGCTTGCGACTTGTTGACCACTGCTGAAGCGAGCCTCTCATCAGAGCATCAACAGCAGCAGCACCACTTCCAGCAGCAGCAGCACCAGCATCATCTACAGCAGCGGTGTCCGGGCGGGGCGGGGGGGTGGCAGCATGCTGTACGTGGTGGGCGTGGGGCTGTGGGACGAGAGTGACATCACCGTCAGGGGCCTGGCAGCCGTGCGGCGCTGCCAGCACGTCTTCCTTGAAGCCTACACCTCCATGCTGCTCGTCGACAAGGCCAAGCTGGTGCGCACTGCTGCTGGGGCTGCTGGAAAGGGATAGTGATTGCTTGATTGATTCACTGCCGCATTGACTGTCCATCACCTTGAATGAACGCTTGCTGTGATGCTGTGATTCTCTGATTCCCTGATTCCGTGATTCTGTATTTTGTGATTCTGTCATGATGTGTGCGGTGAAGCAAATGAGGACCGCCTCGCACGGCCCCTTCGTGCTACATGCTCGCTCTATAGCCCCCTCGACGTGCCATACGGCCACCCCTCGCTGCGGGTGCACCTCTTTCGACGCTCTTGCTTCCTCCTCTCATCCCTCCTTCCTCCTTCCTTTTCACATGCTCCCCACTTCCTCTTTTCGCCCCTCCTTCCCCCGCGCCCTCCTGGTCTGGGCGGGCAGGAGGCGCTGTACGGGAGGGAGGTGAGGGTGGCGGACAGGGAGATGGTGGAGAGCCGTGCGGGCGACCTGCTGCACCTGGCCGCCAAAGAGGACGTCGCCTTCCTCGTTGTCGGCGACCCCTTCGGGTGCGTGCCACGCATGGGTGCTGCCATGTGTGGGCGCATGGAGTGGTGTGCGTGACGGCATGCGCGGGTGCATGTAGTGATGTGTGGGATGTTAGGTGCGTGTGAGTACACGATTGTTAATGGCATGTGAGGTCCCTCTCTGCTCTCTCGGCACCACCCATGAGGCCCGCTGCGGCAAGCGAGGATAGTGCATCAAGGGCAAGGAGCTGCCCGAGCGGGCACCTTCTTGCACAAGCGCGTGGAGCTGAGGGGTGGATGCAAGGCCTTGCCAGTGGGGAAGTGGTCCGCTGGTCCGCTGGAGCCTTGGTTCACTCACTCACCGCACTCTCCTCGTCTTTAAATCTTCTCACCGTGCACTCCCCCTCCCTCCGCCTCTCCCGCCTGTGCCCCGCCTGTGCCCCACCCCCAGTGCCACGACGCACACGGATCTGATGCTGAGGGCGAGGCAGCAGGGCGTGGCGGTGAGTGTGGTGCACAACGCCTCTGTGCTCAACGCTGTTGGCGCCACCGGCCTGCAGCTCTACAGGTGAGCGTGGCATGTACTGGCAAGCATAGCAGAGGGTGTGGCAGTGAGTGTGGCTGTGAGTGTGGCAGTGAGTGTGGCAGCGAGTGTGGCAGCGAGTGAGTGCACAACAAGCTTCAGTGCTCATTGCATGTCTCCCCACTCACTTCCTTGTGCCATTCCTGTGTCATGTTCTGTGTCACCTTCTGTGACGCCCTCTGTGCCACCCTGTTCTCAGCTTCCGCGAGGCGGTGTCCATCCCATGCTGCATCCCGCCACCCTTCTCACCTCTCACCTCCGTGCATCCCGCCACCCTTCTCACCTCTCACCTCCGTGCATCCCGCCACCCTTCTCACCTCTCACCTCCGTGCATCCCGCCACCCTTCTCACCTCTCACCTCCATGCATCCCGCCACCCTTCTCACCTCTCACCTCCGTGCATCCCGCCACCCTTCTCACCTCTCACCTCCGTGCATCCCGCCACCCTTCTCACCTCTCACCTCCGTGCATCCCGCCACCCTTCTCACCTCTCACCTCCGTGCATCCCGCCACCCTTCTCACCTCTCACCTCCGTGCATCCCGCCGCCCTTCTCACCTCTCACCTCCGTGCATCCCGCCACCCTTCTCACCTCTCACCTCCGTGCATCCCGCCACCCTTCTCACTTCTCACCTCCGTGCATCCCGCCACCCTTCTCACCTCTCACCTCCGTGCATCCCGCCACCCTTCTCACCTCTCACCTCCGTGCATCCCGCCGCCCTTCTCACCTCTCACCTCCGTGCATCCCGCCACCCTTCTCACCTCTCACCTCCGTGCATCCCGCCACCCTTCTCACCTCTCACCTCCGTGCATCCCACCGCCGCCGTGCGGTGCCGCTACCCCATTCGGCGCTGTGATGGTGTCCTCTCAGGTTCGGCGAGACGGTGTCCATCCCGTTCTTCACGGACACGTGGCAGCCCGACAGCTTCTACGACCGCATCCTCGGGAATGCCGCCAGGGACCTCCACACACTCTGCCTGCTCGGTAACCCACCACGCGCTTGCTCTGCCCCTCCTGCCTCCATCCCTCATGCCAGCCTCTCTGCGCGGCGTGAGGGATGCACAGCGTGCTGAAGGCCCGAATGGGTGCACAGCATTTCGTTGCTTGCAGCTTGTCGTATGGCATCTGGTGATTCGAATGGGTGCCATGGGCCTGAAAGCATGCCTGTGCTTGCACACTTGTGACTCCGCCACCCTGACGTGCTCATGCTCTGTCTGTCTCTCGTATTGTCTCTCTTCTTCTTGCCTATTCTCTCCATTCCCCCTCGTCATTCCTTGTTGTCGTTTCTCCTCATCGTTTCTCCTCATAATTTATCCGCACCCCATTCATCCCCTCCGCCAGACATCAAGGTGAAGGAGCCATCGCTGGAGGCCATGGCCAGGTGAGGCTGGGGCAGGTGACAAATGATTCTGGGAACAGATAAAACCTGTTGAAAGCTGGGGCTCATAGAAACTGACAGATCCTTGTCGATCATTCCATGGGCGCATGTCGTTGCATGCACCGGGCCGTGTCTCTGTCACTGCATGCTTCCCCACGACGACCAGACGTACTTCCCTCTTTTCCCGTGCTCTCTGCTTTCCTCTCACTCCCGAGGCTCACCTCACCAGATGCAAAACCAAAGCCATGCTTTCTTCCCCCTCTTCCTCCTCCAACTGCTCTCTCTTGTAAAATGTGCCGCTCGTGGTGGTGGTGGTGGCAGGGGCAGGATAGAGTACGAGGCGCCGCGCTACATGAGTGTGAACACGGCCATCTGCCAGCTGCTGCTCGTGGAGGAGAAGCGCCACCAGCAAGGTGAGGCGTGCTCACACGCTGCTGCTCTCGTCACCTCTGGTCCGCTGCTCCAGCCCGCCAAGTTTGAAACCAAAAGCAGCTGCCACTACTCCCCCCACCCCACACCTCCCTCACACTCTCAGCATTCGCCACAACCACCTCTCGTCTCCTCTTCATTCCTCACACCCTTCTTCGCCTCACCCCCCCTTTCTCACCGCATCCCTGGCAGTCTGCACACCAGACTCGCTGTGTGTGGGAGTGGCACGGCTGGGTGCGGACTCGCAGTGCATTGTGTTTGGCAGCATGCAGCAGCTCTCAGACGTTGACTTGGGCCCGCCTCTGCACTCGCTGGTGCTCTGCGGCGCGCTGCACGAGCTTGAGAGGGACTTCCTGGACGCCTTCAAAGTCACCGATGCCACGCCCAGGATCGTGGAGGGCTCAGAAGGAAGCGAAGAGGAGGAGAGCGAGAGGCCCATCTTGTGAGCGGTGCCCAATATAGCTGGGTGAGATTTTTTTCATACTCTGGTTTCCAGAGCAAATCTTCTGTACTAGAACCATTTTTCAGGCCCACAAATCAGGCCCACAAAACCCATTCTCTACAGTCAACCTTTCTAGCGGTTCTCTAAGGCGAGGGGACTGTCTTGGTTAGAGTCGTGTTACAATCCAGGTATCGGCTCAGGGTTGTTCGCAGGTACCGTCATCGCCCGGATAGAAGACATATGTGTCTCATCTCATGTAGGATTGAATCTAGTAATAAAACCCAATGCGTGTCTTATAAATCTTATGAATGGAGTGGAGTGGTTTGTTTTTGTATTATCGCACATACCGGGACACGTAATCAAGAGTTCCTTTTTTGTTTGGCGGGATCAAGAACCCTACGGGGGACCGTTTCGTTGTCCCCATCCAATGTTTGGCATATTCGCCTACACTTGGCAAGCATTTTACATCCTCTACATCAAGTGGGTGGCTCTGTTCCAAGGACATCCTCTGCAGTACCATTCCTCTACGTGACTCGCCCTTAGGAGAGGGGGTCCAGGGTCTACCGCATCAGTGTGCTCATTCTGCACTTAGAATCCCTTCTCTCCTCATGTTTCCTAACGTTTCTCGCCACGGTGCGTAGCAAGCAGGCTGCTGGGCTGGGCCTGCTGTGTACGTCGCTAACAGCGGGCGCATCAATTCGCTTGGTGACGATATCACCATCTGCGTTCAAGGCAACACGGCGAAGAGCGGTGGGCGTAAACACTGGCCGTCAAAAGCACGGTCGCGAGCTGCGAGGGTTCTGATGTTGCCAGTATAGAAGAAGACGAGGAAGAATGGCCCGAGGACGGGCGCTATGAGGAAGACGACGAAACCGCTGATGTGGAGAGGCGGACATTGAGGAGGAAGAGCGGTGGAACCGTGAGTACGCCGGTGAGGAGGTCGAGGAGTGGCACGTGGGTGACAGCGAGCACGGGAACATCGGCAATGAGGGGAAGGCGGCGCCCGACGCCACCACTGAGATGGAAGGTGATGCTGAGGCGACTTACGCGGACGCCAATGCTGATGTCGCTGTGACTCCAGCTAAGGAGTATTCGGCTACGATCCGTGGAGCATGGACGATGTCCCCCTATTTCGGAGGTGCGTCAAGCACCACGTTGACAAGGGGACCAAGCCCAGACCCACAGCCGCTAAGAAAGGGAAGGTACAGCTTGGTGGGGGTAGCAGCAAGGGGACCCGTGGCAAGGCGAACGTTAACAAGGGGGGTGGCAAGAAGGATCCTTGCAAGGGGAAACGTGGCAAGGCGATAACCAACGAGGGTTGCAGCAAGGGAGATGGAGGCTATGTCGAAGCCGGACCATGCTCGGATGAGGACTACGCTGAAGCAGCAGGCCCCTTACCTACCTACCCGGAGCAGTGAAAGCCTAAGGACCCACGTGACAAGAATCCAAATGCTCGGACCCCGTCACCTTGTGGCCCGTCAAACGGACGAGGCGACTGTTGAACAAGGAATGAAATGACTAAGAATGAAATGAGTACAAATATGGAAACCTAGAAGTGTGTACCCCCTATAGGCTAACCCACTGTAGCCTAAACAACTACAACAATATATATAATGTTTGACACACCCCCATAGGCGAAGTGGGGGAGAACTAGGGGTCACAAGACCAGTCAAGTAAAGCAAAGCAAGCTCAGGGTGGATCACAATGTCACCACACAATCCGAGCACAAGTTCAAGGCCACAAGGCCAGTTCACATGCAGGAGTACATATATATATATATAAGACTAAACAAGCAAGAGCAGTGATATATATATGTAACAGTACAAAGAGGGTCAAGAGGAGAGCAAGTGAGGCAAGACAGACACAAGACCCAGCTGGGTACAGCAGCGCTGATGATCACAAGGCGCAAGTGCCTTGGTGAAAACATCAGCAGTGTTGGCCTCAGAGGCCACGTACGCAAGTCGCAACTGACCACGCTGCTGTAGCTCACGAGCAAGGAAGTAGCGGAGAGCAATGTGCTTTGTTCTGTGCTCCAGTCTCTGCTCTCGACACAAGGCCAGCATGGCCTTGTTGTCAACGTACAGGACTGGAGGAGAACGAGGCGGCTCTCCAAGGTCGGTCAGCAGGTAGGTGAGCCAGCGAAGCTCCTGAGCAGCCATGGCCCCAGCGTAGATCTCAGCCTCACAACTGGAGCCGAGAACAGAAGACGAGCGAGTAGCCCGCCACGAAACAGAGCCGGAACCAAGACTGAAGGTGTAACCCTGTGACGACCGCTGCGTAGCCTGGTCGTCTGCCCAAGAAGCGTCCGCGTGCCCAGTGAGGACCACTGGACTCCGCCCTCCAAGCACTAGCCCCATGCCCGACGTACTGCACAAGTAGCGCAACACCCTCTTTGCTGCAGCCATGTGCTCTGGCCGGTGTCTCCCAGGAGCAACATAGCGTGCGAGAATGCTAAGAGGGTATGCAAGGTCAGGTCGTGTGCAGGTCATCAGGTACATGAGGCAGCCAACAAGCTCTGGATACGGGCCACTTGACTCTACGGACTCATCCGAAGGCAGAGCTGAGAGCGAGTGGCGAGTAGGCAGAGGAGTGGCCTGAGGCGAGGAGTACGTGAAGCCGAAGCGCTGAAGGACCTGCTGCACCATGTGTGACTGAGTCAGGGTAATGGTGCGGCGTGCTCTGTCCCGGGTGATCTGCAAGCCAAGGTAGCTGCGCAGTTCACCCAGGTCAGTGCACGTGTGTCTCTTCTGCAGCTCGGACTTCACGTAGGCGAGTCCAGCAGTGTCAGCAGTGGCAAAGACCAAGTCGTCGACGTACACGAGGATGTAGAACGGCGGCAGAGAAGTGTCGGTGCGCAGAAACAGCGACGGGTCGGCAGTAGAAGGAGCAAACCCAAGTGCCGCCAGCGTAGTCCTCAGTGTGTCGTGCCACTCACGTGGCGCCTGGCGGAGACCGTAGACTGGACGCCGGAGACTCCACTAGGTACCAGGAGGGAAAGACCCAGTGAAGCCAGGTGGGCGACGCAGCCAGATCTCCTCGTGCAGGCTGCCCTGCAAGAAAGCAGTGCTGAAGTTGAGAGCGTGAAGCTCGTAGTCCCTGTGAGCAGCAACGTGCAGGAGTACCCGAAGAGTGGTCATCTTCGGGGTGGGGGAGAAGGTCTGAAAGTAGTCAACTCCCTGCCGCTGACTGAAGCCACGAGCGTCGTAACGCGCCTTGAAGACAGGCGGAGAACCCGGCGGCCGCTTCACCCTGAAGATCCACATGCCACTGACGATGTTCGCCCCAGGAGGGGGGACAGCGTCAACGTAGGTGCCTGTGGACTTCCAGGAAGCCATCTCTGCATCCATAGCTGCCTGCCACTGAGAGGAGTAGGGACCCTCTATCGCCTCCGCGTAAGAGCGCGGGGTCGGGATGTCTAGTGCATCCGGGTCTCCCTCAGGGGCTAGCAGTACAGACGCGAGATGAGGTGAGGCGGCAGCCAAGCACTGAAACTCCTCCTGCCTGTCCTCAAGGACGTCCGTGCCAAGGGCACACGCACCCCCGACGGACGGAGGACAGACAGACTCAGACTCAGCGACAAGACTAGCAGCGTAGTCTAGACGACAGCGAGCAGCAAAGTCGACGAGCTCAGCAACTAGGGCAGACGCAGCAGAAGACTCGAAGGAAGGGTCAGTGACGGCAGTAGCAAGGAGACGCGTGACAGTAGGACTGGCAGCACGAAGAGAGTCAGACGTAGGGTCGACAAGAGCAGGAAGAGAGGAAGCAGGAGGAGAAGGCAAAGGGGCACGCAGAGGAGCAGTGGAAGGACGCAGAGACATCCGGTGCGTGCCAGGGGCAGGAGGAGGACGTGGACGCGAACTACGAGCACTAGTGCTAGCAGGACGGACAGGCGACGCAGGGCGGGACGCAGGCTCACGACGCTCAGTAAGACCGTCAGTAGGACCAGAGTAAGGAGAAGGAGCAGGCAGTGACTGAACAGGCTGCGGACACACTAAAGGACGGGGAGGACCAGGAGGAGGCGAGAGACCAAGAACCCGCTGAAGGAGCGGAACGAAGTACGGCTGAGGGCGCGCGGCGACTCCAGACACAGCAGGGACAGCACCAGTGCCCCCAGCGGCAGTACCAACTCCCGAGTCCGCAGCACCAGCAGGGACTCCAACACCAGGGTCCTCAGCACCAGTCACAGCTCCAACGCCCGGGTCCTCAGCACCAGCAGCAACTCCAACGCCCGGGTCCGCAGTACCAGCAGCAGCTCCACCGCCCGGGTCCTCAGCACCAGCAGCAGCTCCAACGCCCGGGTCCGCAGCACCAGCAGCAGCTCCAACGCCCGGGTCCGCAGTACCAGTAGCAGCTCCAACGCTCGGGTCCTTAGCATCAGCAGCAGCTCCAACGCCCGGGTCCGCAGCACCAGCAGCAGCTCCAACGCCCGGGTCCGCAGTACCAGCAGCAGCTCCAACGCCCGGGTCCTCAGCACCAGCAGCAGCTCCAACGCCCGGGTCCGCAGTACCAGTAGCAGCTCCAACGCCCGGGTCCTCAGCACCAGCAGCAGCTCCAACGCCCGGGTCCGCAGCACCAGCAGCAGCTCCAACGCCCGGGTCCGGAGTACCAGCAGCAGCTCCAACGCCCGGGTCCTCACCACCAGCAGCAGCTCCAACGCCCGGGTCCGCAGCACTAGCAGCAGCTCCAACGCCCGGGTCCGCAGCACCAGCAGCAGCAGGGTCCGTGGACGAGGCGCGCCACTACGAAGTGTGCAACGGCGCTCGTACCACTCACGGATCCGCTCACGAGAGGGGAGCTCCCGACTAGAAGGAGAAGTGCCAGCACCAGTCTCCGTAGCGCGCCTGGTCCCAGAGGTACCTCTCCGGAGGCTGCAGTACTGTAAGTACCACTCACGCAACTGCTCCGAGGAGAGGTCTCGTCCAGGCGTAGGACCCCCTGGCGCAGCACCGCCAGGCTCAGCACCCCCAGTCACCGCACCCCCAGGCTCAGCACCCCCAGGCACAGCACCCCCAGGCTCAGCACCCCTAGTGTCCGCACCCCCAGGCTCAGCACCCCCAGAGTCCGCACCCCCAGGCTCAGCACCCCCAGAGTCCGCACCCCCAGTGTCAGCACCCCCAGCGTCCGCACCCCCAGGCTCAGCACCCCCAGCAGGACGAGAGTCGACAGCAACCTCAACAGGCTCGACCGGGTCTACCTGAGACACACCTGAGGGAGCGGCACCCTGAGGGGGGAGGGGGTCTACGACAGCAGCACCTGGCGCGAGGAAGAGAGGCGGGGGTGGGAGCGGGGCAGTGCGGTAGGGGAAGAGGCGGTAGTAGGGGACAGACTCGTCAAAAGTGACGTCCTGAGAGGGCAAGACCCGGCGCGAGGTGGCGTGGTAAAACTGCCAACCAGGCGCGTCCGGAACAAAGCCGAGGAAGACGCAGGGAACAGCACGAGAGGAGAGCTTGTCCACAGACGAATCGCGAACAAAAGCTCGAGATCCCAGACCCGGAAACGCGACGCATCGCCAACCTCCCCCGTCCACAGCAGTGTGGGCGAGGTCTCCGGCAAGGAGACACGGGGCCAGAGGTTGAGCTGATGCGCAGCGTACCGGACCGCAAACGGCCACAGAAAATGGGGGGCAGCCGCATGGATCAAGGAGGTACGAGCGACCTCCATGACCAGGCCAATGCGGCGCTCCGCAACCCCATTCTGCTGTGGAGAGGCCGGAAGCGTGAACGACTGCTCAATGCCGTGCTCAGCACAGTAGGCTGCCAAGAGGTCGGAGGAGAACTCACCACCTCTGTCAGAGTGCAAGCGCAGGACTGGAAAGTCCGAGCAGAAACGCTCGCTGAGCTGGAGACGAGCTCTGCGGATCCAAGGGATCAAAACATCAGGGACCTCACCCTTGGTGCGCAAGGGGAAGACCGTGGTGTAGCGCGAGTAGTCGTCAACAACGATCAGGAAGTACCTCTCCTGACCCTGACCACGGACGCGGGCTGGGCCCCACACGTCCATGTGGAGCGTCTGCAAAGGAGCAGTCGTCGGGGGAAACGAGGAGGAGTGAGGAGCGGCGCGCTGCCGCCCCTCGACACAGGGAAGGCAGGGAGGAGCAGGCGAGGGTGGGAGAGGAGGGAGAACCCTGGGAAGACCAGAGACAAGGTACCGGGAGTGCATGGCATGAAGGCGATGCACAGACGGGTGGCCAAGTCGGTGGTGCCAGAGGACAGTCTCGTGCGCTAGAGAGCGACACGAGTAGGGGGCAGACAGCTGACCTGACGCGGACGCAAACGCAGACGCAGCGACCTGAGGGGAGGCAGTAGTCAGTGTGTACAGGTCCGACCCCGGCTGCCGGGTGAAGGTAGCCAAGTGGCGGCCCGTACGAGCACACGTGCAGTGTGTCACACGCTCGTAGGCAGGGGTGAACTGGTGAACA